GGGGGGGGGGAATTGCACTGATATAAGTGTACAACTGACGTGCACATGCGAAGTTGCACACTTTTGAGTGTTAGACTGGGTGTTTAAAAGTGTTAAACAGTCAATTCTAACACGTAAAAGTGTTTAACATCAGCACTCTCAGCCCGTTACTGACATTTTGCAAGTTCACAATGAATGAGGCATGGGCTGAGAGTGAGGGTTGGTTAAAATTCCCGTGAAACCCGACCCATGTATACGATCCCCATGTTCATACACGTAACATATAAGGTTCGTATGTGGCCAGTGTATGATCTGTTCGCTCCATACGATCCGTAAACGGCGCGTTCCGGTACAGTACATACGCTGCGTATGTATGCCTCACGCACTGTTAAGGGGGGATCCTAGTGCAACGGGCTCAAAATAGGGGTGTTTTCGGGAATTTTTTAAAAAGAAACTATTGCTCCGCGGCAAAAACCCAATACACCGTTCATTGTACACTACTTTAAAGAAAAAAACACCCTGTGTGTGTTGCCAATACCCACCGGGGTTCGGAGATTCAGCACGCTGGCTGAAGATGGCACTACGCGCCTGCAGTGATGGAACGGTGTGCACGATTGCGCCCAAACAAATTGTCCCACACGTATGGGATTTTTTGTGAATGTGTGTCAGACATGTCGCTATCGTCCCTACCTCGGACTCCGATATCACTCAAGCACTTTACTGAGAAAAAAATAAAAAACTATGAGTTTTTTTGCGCTTTTTCGGTACTTTAGGTTCAAACGTGATAAAAAAATAGAAGTTTTTTTATCTCACAGTTCGTCGAGGTAGGGACGATAGCCAGTTTCCTCGTGAGTCTAAAAATAATTTGCGCGACTGTTTCGGACAAACGGTTCGGGCTGAATCGTGCACACCGTTCCACCACTGCAGGCGCGTAGCGCCATCTTCAGCGTGCTGAATCTCCGAACCCCGGGGGGAATTGGCAACAGGGGCGGATCTGGCTCACAGTTCAAGGGGGGGCAAAAAAATGCGGGTTGCCTACTTCCAGGGGCACTTATAAAATTAACTTATTTCCATAATTTTTTATGATTTAAGGTCTGAAAATATTTTTGGGCACACAGTAAAATGTCCCTTCAACAAATTTGTTTCAAAGGAAGGGACAATTTTTATACGGAACATTTTGTCCCTTCCAATGACACAATTTGTCTATAAAATGACACGTTTTTGTCCATAGATCTCTTGTCTGCGGCTATGGACAAACATTTTGTTGCTAGATTAAGGTACAAAAAAAAGTTCCTTTACATTTAGAGTGAAACAATAGGAGAAGCAGGAGTAGCAGCCTCCGCCCAAGGAATTTGTCAGCTTCATTTCGCTGCGGTAACTCCGTCAGGGGCTGAGACTGCTTCGCCTGCCAGCAACATTTGGGAGGTGATTGTTAAAAAAAAATATACGGTTTCGTTCGTTTCATTTCCCAGAAAATTAAAAAATCATTATTTTTTGTTATGTTTTCGGGTTGGATATTGCTCCTTAGTACCCTAAGGTTACATACCTCACTGTAAAAAATAATAGTGATTTTACCGATAATTCGTGTAATCCATTACAGAAATAGTGGTGTGATTTCACAGAAGCTGTTGGTTTTACCGAAATTCTCTGGTAAAATTACAAGTACACTCTAAATGTAAAAGAACAATTTTGTCCATAACGAGGGAACAGATTTACAAGTAACAAAATTGTTTCGTTAGAGAGGACAAATTTCAATTTTGTTCTCTCTTCATGGACAAACTTGTTTCTTGTTTCGTTGACAAGACATTTGTCCCAGCGAGGGGACGTTTAAATCTGTCCCCTTTTTCGCAACAAATTTGTTTTCAAGGAGGGGACAATTTGTTCAAAGAACATTTTGTCCCTTCCAATGACACAATTTGTGTTTAAAATGACACGTTTTTGTCCATAGATCTCTTGTCTGCGGCTATGGACAAACATTTTGTTGCTAGTTAAAGGTACAGAAAAAAGTTCCTTTACATTTAGAGTGTACCTGTAAAATTACAGATCTTCGGTCGTTTTCGCGAAAACTACTGTAAATTTACAAGCGTCGGTAAAAATCCCGAGGGGTTGCCAACTCGTATAATACGCCGTGCACACTGTAAAAATAAGTATCGTGATTTTACCAAATTCTCTTGGTTAATTTTCTAGTACGAAAACTTCGTTTTTTACTGATTACGCTACATCGTTATTTTACGAATTGCCTTATAAAATCCAGAGCTTTAACTAAGGTTACGAAATTTGTATTTATTTTGTAAAATTTTATTACTTTCTGACCCAAAATTTGCATTCGTTACAAATTGTAACTTAACAAAATGTTTCGTAAAACGGTATGCCGTTTCAGTGCACTTCTGAAATATTTTTGTAAATTATCTTTTACGAAACTTCTTGCAGTGTACATTTAGAGTGACGGCGTGGGCGAAGGTCCGCTCTGCTTGTTGCCAACTGTAATAAACTAAGTGAAAGTTTTTTTTTTCCTTTTTTTGCAGGAACTTCCGGATGACCCTCAAAAGTTCTTGACGAACTATTTTGTCGCGGACATGATTCGCCGGGAGGCAAGGTAAGCTAACATTAGAGTGCGATGTTCAAAAAAAAAATTAACCCGTTGGGCTAACTGCCTAGGCCTA